TTAGTAAAAAACAAACGAAAACCCTGTTTTCATCACATCACGGATTATCGACCTTTTTAAAGTTTCGAGAGAAATTGACAATCCGCTCCCTAATGCTGTATTATCGACTCATTATTTCAAGAATCGAGAAGCGAAAAATGTAACGAAGAAATTAATGCATTCTGACAAGATTACTATCAAGCCAATAAATTATTTGAACAGTTTGCGAATTTTCTTGTATTGTCACGCAAAACCGACCTCAAATATTTCCATTACAAAAAACTAAATCAACTTTTGAACGATTTTCCGCACGGATAAGATTGAAAGTATACATCCATGCTGCTATGAAAAGAATGAATGACATAATGTGAACAACGCCCCGATCAGGCGACACAAGACACAGATTACACTGCCACTCGGAAATGAATTATTCATTTCCTAGAAAAGAAACGGGTCTGTAAAACAACACATTGTCATTCTGGAGGATCGTTATATTTACAGTTTATGATTGAGTTTCCAAATGTTATTACACGCGCTATCTAGATTATGAAAATTTAGAGAGAGAGGGGGGGGGGGTGTTATAAAGTCAAAGGGAACCACCTCAAGCAGGAAACGCCCCATTTGTAAACAAAGGTTGCACGCGTCTCCCGTACGCTGTGTATGTCGTCGCCTCCGCCTCCTCATTCTGAAGCGAATGTCGCCCCCCCCCCCCAACTCAATCTCATTGAAACCCCGATCACTCGCCCCGTGCGGCGCACAGTGTAAACAAAAGATGGCGACTGTAGCGCCGCTCGCGAAAGTCTTCCTTGCGGTCGCCGTCTCCAACGCGACGGACCTATTCACTCAAATTAGGGATGCCTAGAAATGGGTGAAACAATCGATAACTGAAATGTTTACGAGACCGATAAATCTACCTTCAATTATTGACCAGAAACATCGATATATCGCCGAAACACAACAAAAATTAAATGAAGGAAACATTTTTTTAATATTTAAATTATTAATAAAAATTCAAACAAATAAAATTACATTAAAAATACGTTACAACATAAGAATTTGATACAGTGTTAATAAATATATTATTGGTTTTCAGTTGTGTAAACTCAACACCTATTGAAAGCGCATCTTTCATTGAGATTTTAAAGCCACCCTTTCATTTACATTCATCATTCCACCTGCTGCGATTTTCTGGTTCGGAAATATTTATTTTGGACATACATTATGTAATGTCAATATTCTAAACGAGCTTTTTTATTGTATTACTCTTTTCTTTAATTTTAAAACAATAAATCGCTTTGATTTGTGTCAAGTGACCACAAAAAGACAAAAAATATACGCACGATATTGTTTTTAACAGCGATAATCCAGATACATCGGTGTAGGATATATCGCTTGAATTTTCGATACATCGGCAGGAAAATATCGATGTATCTATATTTTAGGCACATCCCTAATTCAAATGCCCGGGGCGAGACGGACATGCGCCGCCGCGAGCGACGCAGCGACGCCCGGGCGATGCATTACGCATAGGCAACTTAAGGGCGTCGCGCGGTGAAGAGACGTCGCCGAGGCGTCGAGCCTTGCGGAACGCCAGGGGCCCCGGTTGCGACACCGATCCAACATCGCACACGCGCAGTCCCAGCAACTCACTTTTGGTTACCTCTTTGAAGCGATTCAACAAGTGAATGACTTCAGAGTTACCACATAACGTCTGGGCATCTGATTATTGAAACGGTGAAAACTGCGGCACAATAATGTTTCGTAATAATTGGCAAGTGCGACGTGTAGTGAGTGTCAAGTCGTGTGTCAGGAGTAATGTTAGCTTCAATGTTGCAATGTCTTCTTCCTGTACTGAGCAAGACCGAGTAAGTCGGTAACCAAAAGGGTAGGTGATAGATAACGTCTCATACATGCCCAACATCAAGAACATTAGTATTCACATTAGAAGAAAACTGTAATGGAGCTACAGCAGACCACTTTCTCGCATTATTTCTAACTTTCTAATTTTTGAGAATTCAGTCAAATGAAAATAAGGACTGTTGCCATTTTTAGAGTCCTTTTCTAAAGCCGAGAAAAAATATAACGAACAAATTTGGAGCAGTTTTGAAAAAATGTTCTTTATATATTGCGTTACGTTCAAGAAAACGACTAGTTTCTAAACATTGTAAATGACCTTGTGAATAAATAAATTCTTTAAATTGAAGGGAAAATTCTGTCATTAATATTATACTTCCGCAATGTTATTTTTATTTTTAAAATATAGCGTTTGCCGAAAATAGGACCTCTTTCTTACCATTTTTGGCTACATATATGGAATAAATGTAGAAAAAAGACGTTTTTGAGAAAATCTTTGTTTAAAAATCGTCTCACGCAAAATTACGCAAAAACTACTCAGATTTTTGAAAAATTGTCTAGGCGATCTTATTTCAAGATATGTTTTTGATGACCAGATTTCATCAGGGGAAAAACTTATCTTCAATATTGTAAAAAGTGTAACTGTAAGAAGATGCCAAAAACATTTTGAACTTTTGCAATTTTCTAAAATTCAGAGAGTTCAACGAAACTGCCACTTACATTATTTCTTTAAACGCCTCTTTATCTATCAGAAGGAGAAAGAAAAGAAAAAATATTGGAGTAGGTTTTTGAGAAAATTATGAAAATTTGCTGAGGTTTCGTGTAATGTACCCCCCCCCCCTAAAAATCCATTTGAAACTCGCAGGACCTTTAGTTCGTTCAAGTTTGGCTGTCAATTGAATTTCCGGTAGCAAAGTCGCACCAGACATAAATTCTGAATACACAATGTGTTAGAGGAGGAAATTCACTACATATTGGAACAAGATTTATCCACTTTTTCGTTGCTAGGGACCGACAATAAGAGTTTTTCTGTCGAAAAAATCGCCGATTTCCGCAGCTGCATTACAACACCTCTTTGCGAGAAAGTAAAAGCTTCATTTTTTATTCAAAAGCAACATACTCATAGTCCACTGCAATATTAAGTCACTGATTCACGAAGAATCTCACTAGAATTCGACTAGGATATGAGTCACTAATCCAGACTGTTTACAATACTTACAATACTTTACTAAGTTTATTATCTTTCAGATATTTTGTATGTAATAAAATACAGGTAAATTATTTTATTCAAAATAGCATACAAAGAATCACAGCAGTTACAAGAGTTTGCCATGTACGAGTTTCCCATTTGCCCTGGTGTCTTTGGTACATCATAATGCTGAATGTGGTTCACTTTGGATTGGTGACTGGGAGCCAGCACGCATGTTTTGAATAAGCTCTGTTGAATGTGCAAATCCACATCGAAAGATCAACAAGTGAATAAACAAATATATGTCAATACATAAAATCGCGTCTAATCAATTGAAACAAATGACACATCCTCAAGATCATGATAAGAGTGTGTTTTATTGCGATAAGAATGTATTTTCATTTTACTGAGTCAGATGTCCATTGATGTAACAAATACTTCAGCAACAAAAAATACTCCACTCTATTCTCAAACATTTTTAACTCCATGTTTTTGATTTCGACTTATGAATTACCGGAAATAATGTAATAACCGTCACGATTTTCGCTTTGAGACCTCATTTCAGTAGGGGTTGGAAGGGGGGATTTATTTTGGCGATTATATCAGAACAGTAGCTCTGTTTTGATATAAAAAAAATCAGTTACACGAGAGCAAACATTTCTGGTTTTCAGATTTTGCCAACAATGTTTGTTGCCAATTTTATTATTTATTCAACAAATGGTGGTAATGGAGTGGGGGAGTGGGTGATTTCGGAACTCAAGAAAACTTGCACATATACGCGATTTGCACGTGGTTCCATTTGGGCGGGAAACTAGAGGCGCCGTCACGTGGATGATACTTAAGTGGTGGCATGGAGCGGCTCAGCAAAAAAGCTAAACACTGCCTCCATGCTGATCAACGCAACCTTCAACTTCACGCACTCGTATCCTTCACGTTTTCTTTTACGCTCTGAAGATCACTTCTGCATGCACAAGCTCCATGTGAGCGTGTGTCACATAAAGGGTAGACAAACAAGGAAACCGAAGAAAAAATATATTCAACCACATAAGAACATCATACTTCAGACGTCTATTTACTTTTTTGACATTGAAAAACATCTGCATTAAGAAAAGATTTTAAGGGAGCTATTAAAACTTACGAAGCCATCAAGTAATGTATAGTTTTACTAGTATATCGACGATCAACACCAAACCACAATACATAAGCATTGCTTTTCTGGTTGTTTGTAAAAAGGAGACATATAAACAACTCCTTCGAAACATACATTTTGAAGACTTCGAGAGTCGAAGTGTCAGTTTGTCACTGTTCACGGGCGGAATACATCTATGCAAAATACGCCTTATCTTTCTGAACGCACTGAAAATGTAAATTAAACATCAGAAATACATTATTCGAATCGATATTTACAAGCTTACGCCGTCATTACTGTTGTTTGCAGTCAAATGTTAGGTAATCCTGCTTGATGCTGATTTGGAGGCAAACTAAAGGACGCATCACACAACCTTCAACGGAAGACAATCGCCCTTCCAGGGAACAATGACGAGACGATACACAAAACAGACCTCAGCAAGGTTTACAAATACGTTAGCATTTAATTTATGTACACTTCAGGGGAACACACACATTCAAAACGCCGTGTGTTGATAATAGTAAACAAAACAGGTGCAAGTACAGGTTTACTAGTGACAACTCTTTACGTTCACGTTTTTAGAAAATTAGACGCACTCCAGTCATTTTTTTCGAGTCTTCCCTATGCCTCTAACGGACTCACTATCGTTCTTAAAAACGACCGGAGCAATTACTACTAACCGTTTCTCGATAAGAAATCGAACATCGCTTCTGGAAGAACATGTCTCTACACACAGAATGCATTACGGACATGGTAGGTATTAGTAAATAACTTGTATACGCAAGGCATTTATAATGGCCAGATACGTGCGTCGCGCTCTCGTAACATGTGCCAGTGGCAGCCACTCACCTGAGCCGAGGCTTGCAGGCAGGCGGCGCGCGTGCACACGGGGAACATGTGCTCGTGCGGCGTTTGCGGCCACGTGCACGCCAGCACCACGATGACGATGAGGAAGACGAGCAGCAGCGCGAGGATGACGGCGGAGACGGTGAGGCCGAAGCGCGAGAGGCCGGTGCGACGGCGCAGGCGGGCCTCGACGCGGGCGCCCAGCCGCCCGCCGCCCGCGCCCTTGTCGAAGCTGGCGCGCTTCTTGGCCACGCTGTTGGAGGCGGACAGCTTGCGCCGGCGGTCCACCTCGTCCAGCCCCTGCGCGGCGCGCCCCCCGCCGCCCCCGCCCCCCTGCGGCAGGCAGGGCTGGCGTTCGGGCGTCCCGGGCACCTCCGCCCCGCCGCCACCCGCCTCCTCGGCCTTCTCGCGGCCCCCGTTCACCAACGACACGTCCTTCTCGCCTTTTTCCATTTTCGACGGAGAGTACGACTCGACTGCAATCAATGACGTGCGGCGCTTCGCTCGACAGCTCACTCGATACTCATGCAAAAACGCGCACGCACACACACCTACATTCTACTACCGCCAACGCATTAGCCGATACTACAATATTGGGTGGTGTACTCACAACGCCACATTCTCTACTAGCGTCACACAATGCACGAACGCGCGACCGCGGGTAGACTGTCCGCCTGCGTGCACGGAGGGCGTCGCGTAGCGCGGGAGCGGACACCGGACGGGCGACTGTGGGGACGCGCTCTGCCCCGCTCTCCTCCACGTCTGTTCCGCGCGACGGACTCGGACGATCTGCGCGCGCGGGGCGCGGGCTTCGGCGCGCCGCCGCTAGGTGGCAGGCGCGCCCGCGCGGGCGGCGGGAAGGGCGGAGCGGCCCCAGCGTTGATGTCTCCGCCTGGCTGCGCGCCGAGACGCACTTGTATGGCGTTGTGAATCGTCGGTGTAAATAAGCGAATTTACCAAAAATTATTTTTGGGATTAGTTTTTCCATTTTTTACCGTCGTATTTTTATACGAGGAAAACATTAAAATATGTCTCATGACTCTCTGATACCTTTATTTCATTCTGTTTGTAGATTTGATGATTATATTGCTGAAATTTTCAGAATTTATTTCTGTGTGAGATAAAGAAGTATTAGGAAAAGGGGATAGTGAAGGTAGGTAAATTATACGTGGACACTGCCAAATCCGTAAATGAAAATAAATGAGAACCAGAACTTGAAGGTCATCTCCCTTATTTTTTAAAAAAATTATTTTATTAAAAATAAATACCAGTCTATAAATGTCAGTACAATGAAAAATGTATTCCCATTATCAATATAGTTGTATTTTTTAAATTTTGAACTGACAATAAAAAATATTATTTCAAAAATATTTATGGAGGCCCAAACTTAGAGACCCTTTCCCTTGAAATACTTCTGAATTAGGCCCAGCTTAGAACTGTATATGCATTTATAAAAGGTTTGCATTTTTAAAAGGATGGTAAATAGACAATATAAAGTGCGAAGGAAAGAAGTTACAGCAACTGTTGTCTCCTGAAAAGGCACTATAATATTTTATTGTGCCAAGAGTTCTGCATCTTATCGTGTCCTTCCATTGTGACATTACTGCATCTTCCATCTCTGCTCCTTCCTTCTGTCTTTCTAAATCCAGTTATAATACTTTCTAGGCAGTCTTTCAGAATCCCTCCTCCCTAAATGGCTATCCCATAACACATATTTCTTTTCATTTTCTATATTTAATTATCACTTCATATTCAATTGCTTTTTAATCGTTGTTTTTATGAAATCAAATAGTCTAACCCACAAGTTAATTCTCCAAAACCTGTTTTCATCACTATTTATTCTTTCAAATTTTACACAGAATTAGGCACCTTGACCATGACTCAAATCAGGTCTATCATTTATTCATAGTAACAAGGGATTATAATGGAAGTCTACTGTTCGGAACATATTCCAATGTAGTTGCCTACCAACAATGTGACAGGATGGTGAGATGATGACAATTGTCTTTTTATTCTCTTGGTCCCAACTCGATTAGTACCCAAACTTCAGAACTGCAATGATACTGTTTCCTCCACTAAAGTCTGAAACAACATTTTTGTGTAGGATGTAATGTCATTACTCCAAAGTAGTTGATTGAATTTGTTTATTATTTGTCAGCACAAAAATCTGCTTTATCTCTAGCTTCTTTGTTCAATATCACCCTTGATACTTTAATTCTTTTAAATTTGTAATCTTCTATAAGTTAAAAATTAAATTTTCTCATTGATTACCAATTTCGAAACTCTGCATTCTCTTTGTTTATATTCAGTCCCCTAATTTCTCAACAAGTTTCATCATACAGGAACCACTGAATACATCTTCTGCAAGAACAATTTGATTATCTGTGAACAAATGAAAAACATCAATGAATGTTTTCTTTCCCAAACTGAATTTTTACGGAGCACATTTTTGTGTTCAGAAATGCTGATGCAATAAATATTTTAGTTAGTTTTTTAGAGACAACACAGTGTTCATTCCTTCTTATGTTTAAAAGGTTCTTCACAGACCTGCCTGAGTTTCAATCTTGTGATTAATTCCAACTTAAAATATTTATTAATAGATGCTTCTGTCATGGAATCAAAGAATGTTGAGTACTGTAAGAAATAACCTTTCAAATACTACTACATAATCTATTGCTCCAAAACAGATGTTAAACATCAAATGACATTTGAAGAGGAAAGAAATTGCTTTCCAGAAGCAAAAAAAACCATAAAACCATCTCAGCATTTGCTCTTAGAATTGTGAAAGTCATGATTAAAATGAGAGTTTCAATGCCAGAAGTTGAGGAGAAGTTTCAAGAATTAATAACATAAGGTATACCATTATGATTGATTTACAAAAAAATAGCCATTCTCTATAGACTTGTATTTAAAATATTAAATAAATTTAAAAATAACGTGTTAAGTTAAAAATAAAAATAATTCTTACATACATGCTGATCTCACTAGTAATCTGCCATGAAACCTACATCAGAGACGATTTCATAGCGTTGTAAATTTTACCTGTACTTGAGTATTTGTTGTTCAAAATTCCCTTTCTTTCTTCAACACATATGTCTATGTGCTCATGAAAGTGAAAAATAATACACTGGTATTGTAATATTAAAGATTTATGAGTGAGCTCTTGAATTGGCAATAAGAATATCTAAATTAAATTTAAATAATTTTGATGTATTGTAATATGGAGGACAGAAGTACAACACTAAGTACTATGTAGGAAATAAACACTTTTCACTTAATCAATTCACAATTCACAAATGTATGGGTAAAGTGTATGTTGTAGTTCACAAACGTATGGGTTAACATATAGGCGAATAAGTGCACTCAAACACATTATGCAATTGACAGGTAGCTTAAATAATTATGTGATATAATGGAGTTAATTGAAATTTATCACTGGGAACAGAATTTATTGTAATAAAGGAAGCAAAACATGTACTTATACTGTTATGAATTTATTTTTCCAAAATATATAAGAAAGTGTAAAATAAAAATTCATTATATTGTTTAAAATTGTAAAAAAAATAAGATATGCATGTATGCAGAATGTTGTTTAAAAGGAGCCGGAGTTCATGCAAATAATAGTTCTGTGTAGCCAGAGATGAATTCCAGAAGGGGGAACATTTTTCCCACCCCAAATACTACATGATAAGGCAATTATCTGTATAAGACACTAGCGGTCCCGGCAAACGTTCTGCCCTTCATCTCCCTCTTTCTCCTTCCCACTCCCACTTCCGCTCCCTTCTCTCTCCATCTCTTTCTCCGTACCTCTCTCTATCTCTCTCTCCATCTCTTTCTCCATCTCTCTCTCCATCTTTCTCCTTCTCTCTCTCCTTTCTCTCTCTGTCTCTCTCTCCATCTCTCTGTCTTTTTCTCCATCTCTCTCTGTCTCTCTCTCCATCTCTCTCCCTGTCTCTCTCTCTGTCTCTCTCTCCGTCTCTCTCTCCCTCTCTCTCTCCCTCTCTCTCTCCCTCTCTCTCTCCGTCTCTCTCTCCGTCTCTCTCTCCGTCTCTCTCTCTGTCTCTCTCTCCATCTCTGTTTCTCTCTCTCTCTCTCTCTCTCTGTCCATCTCTCTCTCTCACTCTTTCTCTGTATCTCTATCTCTGTGTCTCTCTCTGTCTCTTCCTCTCTCGGTCCCTCTACCTATCTGTCCCTGCCTCTCTATCCCTGTTCATCCCTTTCTCCATCTCCATGTCTCCATCTCCATGTCTCTCTGTCCTGTATGTACGTACCAAGAAGGAAGTAAAGTTTGACTATTCAGGACAAAATATGGTGGTCATAGAAATGAAATGGCATTACATTGCTTTGTAAGAAAGATGATTCTATAACATATATTGCAAACACCATCTGACATGTTTTGTTTCAATGTGTAAATATAAGAAGATGTAACAAAACATTTAGTTATATGTGAAATATGTAAAAATATTTTATTATGGCAAAACATGTGAAACTTTTTTTTAAACTGTTTAATTCATTCAGAATGTCTTGTTAACTCCAAAATGAATTATTAAATGCAGGTATCTTGTTCCCATGAAAGAATGTTAGTACATGAAAGTCTGTTCCCTACTTATCAAAAATTGAAAATCATATCAGAAAATATAATTACTCAATCAATTTATATTTTTTATTCCATGTATTGAGGGCAACCAATAACTCATCACCACAGATTTAAATATTATTTTATTTTTAAAACACAATTTTATATATCCATGCATTTCAGTTTTTTAAGGATTCCATCTTCTGGCATGCTGCAAAATTTAATACACAGGAAGTTTAGAAACAACATTCTTAGAAAGAAGGTCATGTAAATTACACAAGTTGATAAATAAGACATAATAAAAAGAGAATAAATAAAAAAAATAAATAAAAAATAAAAATAAGTATTAAGTTTTACAGAAGATGAGATACACACAGTTCAGGTTAGAAAGGGAAACACTTACATAATCAGGAGCAATATTAAGCATGAAAAGGAATTTAGAAAATCATCTGAAAGCAAATATTTTTTCAATTAGAAATGCATCATATTCTGTTTTCATGGGTAGCCCCTTGTATACAGAAATACATTAAAAGTAAAAGAGATAGAACAAATATTAAAACACTTCTCATAAATTTCTACTATTACCAAACTTGAAGAACTTTGGTCTCCAATGAAAAATGTTCAGTTAAGAAATAATAATTAAAATATTTGTGTAAAATAGGTAAATAAGAATTTAGTGTATACTAGTAACCTTCAGTAACAAAAATACTGCTGAACAAAACCATAAATGGTTTTCCAAATTCTTGCATGCTCCCTGCTCAAGAATAAACAAATAAAATACTATCATTTAGCACTGCAACTAATTAAATATTTTAACAAAAATAGTCTTTACAAATTCTGCAATAACATAGTATAGTGTAACATAGTATAGTATAACATATAATATAACAAATGAATAACAATTATTTAATAGTGTTGGCCTCTTCCTTGGATATTGCTTCTGCATGGCACCAGCTATATTGTAACTAGAGATACACTGAGGTAAAGAAATAAGTTGGTCCACACAGAATGAAAATATGCAGTATTAAACATTGAAATACTGGAATTTTTCAGTCAAAATCAAATAATTGTATTGTTATTTTTCTGGGTATCTAATAACATCACTGACGGCTCTCACATGGCTAGAATTGGCACAGTTTTGTTTCAAATTCTGCGTGTATTGAAAACGTGATATACATTAACTACAAGGACATTGAATTTATTATAGCTTGGTGAATTAAACATATATTTTGTCATGAAACATCTACTATTATTTTATCCTGAAACATCTTATTAGATACAGAAAACAAAAAAAAAACAAAAATTATTCTTCAGATAATGAAGTAAGAAATTAAATTAATTTGATTGTAC